CAGATGCACATGATCGATCATAGACTTCCTCTAAACAGTTGTAACTTCTCTCTTTTGAGCTGTAACTTCACCTTTAAAAGTTGTAACTTACACCTCAAAAAAATTGGAACTTACACATCAAAAAAATTATAACTTAACCTGAAATTGTTGTAATTTTCGATACAGTACCTCCTTCAGTACCGTAGCTTTTCCCTTTTTTATATCCATTATTACCCCCATTTTCTAGCGAACTTAACTCACTTCATTGACAATTAAATTTATCTTTATTAACATGTTAATATATCATTCAATTTGTAATTATCATCCAATCAATAAAAAACAAATATTTTTAATTATAAATTATTTTCACCTTCATATTTTTTCATCATATATATGATAGAGAGTAATACTATAAAAATCTAAAAAATTAACTTAATTTAATGATATAATTATATTATTTTCATAGGAATCATTGGATCAACACTTTAAAGACAAAGGCAAACCAATACCTTTTATTTTTGTCCCACATTGGAAAATGAGGGGAGATGAGGAGGGTTGAGTTGCCTATAAAAAGCAATGGTCTATTGTTTTTTTTTTAAGCATTTAAGTCTTATTTTTTTGAAATTTAGTTAAAAATTCCTCTTTTTTGAGGTAACTGCAATTGACAATAAAAAGTGGAGTACTAAAATTTGTTAATATCATTTTTTTAAAAATTAAACGGGTTAAACAAATCGTGTCATGTTACCCGTTTATTAAACAGGTCATATTCGTGTTGAGATTTTTTACCCGTTTATTAAATGTGTCGTGTACAGGTTTATATATTTTTCACCCGTCACTTGTTTAACCCGACACGTAACCGTTTAACCCGACACATTTGACACCCATACGTGTAACATATAACCCCCAGTCGTCAATATTCGTTAATATAACCGCTAAAAAACATAATGTCATCCTAATAAATAAATAAATATAATTTTCATATATACCCTTTATATGTTGGTCCGTTATACTCTGAAGTTTAAAATCAAGCTTATTATTTGAATGCCTGATATAATGCAGATATTATAGAATGTTCAAAAGCACTAACATTGTATAATGTTCTTTATATCTAATGCAATACATCACTAAACATAATTATTTGGATATCCAATTGGAGGAACATTTTTGGCCATATTTAGATTCTCAGGGAGTGTAAGTATAATATTTCAAATGTTAGAGAGTCGAGATGATTAAATGACAAATATGAGTGAGTCCAAGTCTAATTTACCAATTTAGTTTTAGACAGTCATATATTTATACAAATTTATATCTTTGAGGATATAAATTAAAACTTTTAATCTTTGAATGTATAAATTGAGATTTGAGAGATCTTTCAAGGTGTAACTTGCGATTAACCCAAAATTCAATTAAAAATACAAAATTACTCCCATCTCATTTTTGTTTAACAAAAAAATCCAACAAGTGCCCACAAAAACCCTCCTTCGATGAAAACCCAACCCATACCTCTTTCTAGTAAAGCCCCCCGACCAAGCGTACTCCAATATTTTGGCAAAACTCAGCCCCACCAATAAACAAGTGAATTCCCTCACTTCACCAGTAAAACCCACCTCCACCACCACTAGTAAACCCCCCCCCCCCAACCCAGCCCAAAATAAAAAAAAAATCCCAAGTGGTGAAGAGAAATCTACTCTCAACTAGGTAAGACCATATGTAGAGAGACACATACTTACATACACAAAGAGAATTTGTATATACAAACACACATACGGATTAATTTGGTAGTTGTTGTGGTTCTACCCCTCACCCCAATAATTTACTCTCAATTGGATTTTGTTTCAATTTATTTTTGACTTTCCTGTTTGATGAGGGTGCCAAAGGTGGGTAAAGAGGTTAGGGTTGGGTATAGGTGGGTTAGGGAACCTACATCGTTGGGGAACGCTGGAGTTGGAAAAGAGAAAGTGTTTTTGGGGTGTTGGGGGGGGGGGGGGGTGATGGGGTGCGCTAGAGTTTGGAAGGATTTGGGGCAGCAACTGGAGTTGGGGAACGGGTTTGGGGCCATAGAGACTACTTATCGAAAAGACAAGTTAGGTAGGAAGAAAAATAACTCATTTTGTACATCAGTTCTCTATCTCCCTTAAAAAACACATAACCCTTTTATGATTTGTGGACTAAATGGAACAGTCAAGTATAATAATAGGAAAGTCAAAATAATCTTAATGCCCAATTTTCTTCTTCTCTCTAGACCCATGCTTCTTCGACCTTCTTCTCTGATAGACACGTTGATGGGACATTTTCACAAATTGATGGGGAGATGACATGTGGCCTCGACATGATAAACGTGGAGCCTCCATGAATCGACATGTGTCTTCGGTTCAACAAGACTCGAACCCTCCATGAAGCGACATGTGTCCTTGGCGTGAGTCTCCTTGGAGCTCTCTGGGATTGACATGTGTCCTCGGTGTGAGTCCCTCTCAGAGCTATCATTACTTGACACTTGTCCTCGGTATCTCAAGTCCCCTGAGGAGCTCTCCATCTGGCACATCTCCTCGACGTTGAGCCCTCCACGCCGACAATGGACATTGTTTTGACGTTTTATCGTGACTTGAGAGCGAATTTGGCTGTCAATGATCAGTTCTCCTTTCCTAGGTTGTCAAAAGTGACAGGGAAGATAGTTTAATAACTAATGGTGAGGGTGTACGAAATGTACAAAGCCCAGATGACATGATCTCTTGGAGGGCAATGGATGAAAGTGCTCCTGCGCATGTATAGCCATAATGGGAAACATTAAATTATCCCGTAGAGGGATGAGACATACTTATTGCTCGGTGAGCCCAGAGATGGGAACATTTAATGCAAAAGCTTCTTCCACGTGAAAAGGAGGGCACTCTGCTCGAGGACTGTGCACCACATGTTGCCTTGCAAATGGGCCAATGAGGAGTCTTCTCCCCAAAAGACCCCGACTGTCCGCAATGATTAACTTCATTAAGGTATAAATAACTCTCACAAACTCAAGTCTAAGGTACACAAAATCTCACCCAAAAAATATAATAATATTTTTCCACCCCTTTCTCATATACTAACGTGATCATCGAAAAGGTAACAACGAAAAAATATTTCGATACCCTTTTAACCTTTCTTTTTGAGTGACATGATCCAACTTAATCACTTGAAAGTGAGCAGAGAATTTGTAAAGAGTCTTGTCACCCTTTATTACAATTTCTCTTCATTCATTTATTATGGAATCTTTGACTTTCGGGGTAAAATTCGAGTTCATCAAAGAAAAGATATTTCAATTCATTTATTGTACTAAAATCATTGCGCACACACATCATTTTCACAATTGAACCAAAGTCCCATAACAAAATAAGAATAAACTAAAATTGAAATTAAAAACATAACAAACCCGAGATTCAATCAAAAATCAATCCACAGAACTAAAATTTGCTTCACCCAAAATGAATCAAAATCACAAACAAAAACTAGAAACGAATCAAAATCATCCAAGTCGAATAAAAATAGAACCCAAATTTGGAATCAAACCAAAATCTGGAGAAAACAAAAATTTAATTGAAGTTGGAAATTGGAAAATCAGAATTGAATAGGAATCGAATATCCACCTTTGTTTCTTCGTTTTTCCATTCTTCTTCCCGGCATAATGAATGCAGTGGGCTTTTTTTTGACCCAGACCAAAGTATTCTACACAGTGAAAGAGAGAGAGGAGAGAGGTCTGGGTTGTGTGGGTTTGCACAGAAACATGAGAGAAGCATAGTACTGAGAGAGAGGTTTGAAAGGGACAGAGAGAGTTTGATGGATTTTGTTTGTCTTTTAAACATGTTTTTTGTATGCCAAACCGCTGAACATGCGCGTGATACATACGTGCCGTTAATTTGGACGAAAAATGTAAATGTTACATTTTAGTCCATAAATTACAAAGGGATTATGTGCTATTTTAGAAGAACTAGAGCGGTGATGTGCAAAACGGGTTAACCACAGGGAGGTGAAGTAAAAATTGCCCAAAAATAATCCAAGGTTGGGAGTATTTTAAAAATTTTATATTTTTCACCCATTTATGTCGGTCAATTTAGTAAGGCAAAAATATTGAGGAGACAAATTATTGAAATTGAAACTTGAGGGATTTGATTAGAATGTAACCCAAGCTTGGAAGGGACATTTTGTAATTAATCCAATTTAAAAATAAATCTACTTCTCATTGGGAAAAATCATTAAATCCTATTATATTTTTAAATTATTAAATTACACTCTAAATCAAATAAAACAATTAACACTGTCGTCTTTATGATTAAATTGAGCATTGAATTTTCATGTAGAACAGTTGAAATTGGGTAATATATGGATAATTGAGTATAGAAATAACTTTTTTTAAAGACTTCAACACAAAAAATTGTCAAATGAACTAACATATTTGTTGTTTTGGATCATATTGTTACTTTTTTATTTGATTGAATGTGCAATCTAAACATTTGAATCTTTTAGGGTGTCAATTAGAAATCTGAATATCTTTTAAGGGGTAAAGTGTTATTCAATAATAAAATTATATTTGTTTTAATTTAAATTTTATTTTATAATATAAAAAAAAAACATTTTAGTACATTAGTATGTAGTTGTACAATTCCAATAGGATTGGATGGGGGATGGGGGATGGGTGTAGGGGTGGCGGGAGAAATTATAAATCTAATAACTAACAACTGAAAGCTAAGAGAGGACGTAACGGTTTAAGTCCATGTAATGTAGCGACACGTTGAAGGTTCAATAGCTCTCCCTGGTTTTCTTCCTCGTTGCTATCAAAAAAAAAAAAAACAAATGGAACTGAAAGCTGAGAGGCTAAAACGGTTCTTGTATTTCTGCCAGTCTCTCTCCGCGTCTCTCTCTCTCTCTCACATCTCCGATTTCCGTTATTTTTAGACATCTCTTTACTACACAAAACAACCCAAGAAATTAAAGGGTCCGCTCCATGTTTACGAATAAGGCTGCCAATTGATTCCTCAAAGAAGAAGAGAACAATGGCGTCCAATCGATTCTTCCATTTGGTTCTCTTCTTCCTTCTGGCTGGCTTGGCCTCTTCAACCTCTATTTCAAGTAATTCTTTCTTATTGATTATTGTTCGTTTTTATTTGCATTTGTATATATAGGATTGTTTTTGGATTTGTGAATTAATAATTACGAATAACAAAGTTTTATAGTTGTTTACGTGCAGATGATACGTGTGAATCTCGTGGATTGACGGGTCGTAACCTTCTTCAGCAAAAAGCGGGTAGATGTTCCTTCCTGCCCTCTTTAAGAACTTCTCTGTTTGGCTCCCGAGAATATGTAGGAAAAGAAATGAGGTTTGCAATATTATGTCATGGATAGTTTTAAGTTATAAGGAAGCTGAGAAGACGAAGCCCTTAATTCATCTGAACCTAATACAAGCATTTGGCCCGGAGAGAGCGTTTTGGTTGTCGGAAAACTACAATGTGATGTGCTGCACTAAATTTATGTTTTTATGTCGACCCCAAATAATTGGTAGAAGGATTTGTTGAGTGGAGTCGATTTCAAAACCGCATTACTAAATTTTAAGGCCAATGGATTCTGCTTTTTTTCTTGATATTGTTTTTGCAACAACAGTGATTACAAACATTAAATGTAGTATTATGTCTAATCAGGGGTTTGTTATATTACCTTTGATGTTATTGTTCATTCATGTGGAGAAAGGAGGAGAGGGTAACAAGGGGTGGACATCTAGTGCCAACCCTCTACTTATGAATACATAAAATAAGCTTAGAAGGACTAGATTGGCTTAACACGATATGAAATGAGGCATAGTTAGTTGAATATACACATAGTTTTGCTGTTTCTAATTTTGGTGCGAAAATTTTCCCCCTCTATGTCATTAAAATCAGAGCGACTATTTTGTAGGAGATGAAGCAATTAGTTTGAACGAGGAGACAAGTATTTACAGTATGTTTATAAGTAATGACCACGCCCATGGTATAACACTTTTGTCATACCCGTAAATATTTGAAGATAGCAATACAGAGTTGCCACAATCTTGGGTAAAAAGCAGATTTGTGGATTGATGCCAAGCTGATCATGTTTTGCATTGTGCTTGGCCAAGGATAGGGGATGACAGTGTAGAAATGAGTCATACATAGCAAGTCTTACATGGCATATGGAGCAAACCTACCATTTGGCAATATCTCCACAAAGTGGTTACACTTGGACTCGGACCCCCATTGTTTCAGGAAAATGGGGGCTAGTGTTCAATGAAGATTAGGCATGTTAGGCCTAGTGAACTTCAGTACATCTCTAAAGCGTTTGGATCAGTTGAAGTTGGAACAAAGAGCAAGTACTTTTAACTTTGAATATTTTTAGCATGCATTTACCAAGGCCAAATTAGTTGCAGCCTGATTACTGCAGATGTAGAAGATGGTTGGCGGCTTCTTCTGTACTGTGGCTAACAGGCAAGTTCAACAGATAAGTCATGATGGTTCTCAAACCTGGCTTTGTAATTGTAAGTTTTGGGGATGGCTACTAGGACTGATTTGTCCACTCTTTAAAAATTCAGAAGGAAAGATAAAAAAAAAAGCTGGTTGGTTATAAAGGGCATTTTACTATTCACTTGTTCTAGGACCAGGAGGATCATGATGGAGGGAGTGGATTGAGCTGAAAAGCTTGTGCAGCTTTATTTTTCGATTATTTCAATCTACAAAATGTTGTTGGTCGTAGAAGATGGTTGGACTTGTCGACATCGATCCGCATGGAATGCAATACCATGCCTTGTCACAAAAGCCTATTCCATCCTCATTAATGATCATGCCTTCTATTCAATGGCTTCTATGCATAGCCTACCTTGAAAAACTATTAACTTCTTTGTGCCATATATCCTAACTAAATTGGAGAAACACTATGTTGCTAGATTCCTTGATCTACACAATGGGAAGTTGGCTAGAATGGCAGCCCTGATTTGAATTCTTTTCACTTTTCCTGGTGATATATATCTCCTCACCCTTTCCACTCTCTTACTTTATGTAGAATCTAGTTTTTGGTATAGTTTTTCTTTTGTTGTGTTTTTTCTTCTTTTGTAATAAAAGTGCAACCATTAGACGTTTGGCCACAACATGCCATCCCCTTAAATTTTATCATGCCGACTATCATTATTTCTAGCATAAGTGTCTAGTAGATGCAGAATTACAAAAAACTATCATTTCTTCAGTTACTATCATCACCATGGCATCTAACCACAATAATTCTGTCCTTGAACCCTACCTGTTATCAGCTATGCCATCTTAAGCAGAGCCTCTGTAATACGACTCTCATATGGCTCTATCACTGTCATCACCACCAGTGCTCTGCTTCGACCTGACATTCCAATCAGCAACCATCTGCATGCTTCTCCTTCCTGTAATTTCAAGAAACATTTATTCAGCTTTCTAGATGTTGTTAGGGAATTTTCAGACATTTGAAATCGAGCATATGTCTGCAAGCTTTTCAATCAAACCATGTAACGCCTATGATGAAGTTAGAAAGGTACAAATGTAATGCCAAGCAAAATACATAAAAGGTAGATGACAATAAAATTGAAATCCTTAGTTTCGAGAACCTTAAGAGCACACATTTTTATCTGTTATCTCATTTTTCTCAATTTAAGGTCATCACTTTTTTCTGAATGTATCCGGGACAATAAAGGAAGTTGGCATTTGAAGCACTAAAATGTTCCTGGGATGCTGTTCAAATTTCTACATGTAACTAAGATTTTTTATCGAACTTTTTTGTCTGGCAATCTAGTTCATGTATTTTTGATATGGCATTTCTATTTCGCCATGTCAAGTGAAAGGTCATTGTTACAGAACAAAGAAAAGGTTAAGTTTATCATATACACTTAGTATTGGGCATAAAGTTTAATTGCTGCTGATAGAAGCTTGAGTCACCTCTAAAATAGTATTGCAATGAACTTTTATGCTACTTATTCTGCAGGTTGCCCTGTGAACTTTGAGAATCAGAACTACACAATAATTACAAGCCAATGCAAAGGACCCCAATACAATGCCAAAGTCTGTTGCGACGCCTTTAAGCAATTATCTTGCCCTTATTCAGAGCAGATAAATGACCTTAAAACTGATTGTGCTTCAACCCTGTTCAGCTACATAAACCTCTATGGAAAATATCCACCGGGACTGTTTTCCAGTTTGTGCCGTGATGGCAAAGATGGTCTCGATTGTGAAGAAACTCTGAAAACCCAAGCCAAAGCTTCTGTGGAGAAAAGTGGGGCTTCAGCAAAATATACTCAACCCCTAATGCTGATGCCCACATCTACCTTCCTGATGCTACTATTTAAGTTGTTCTGAGGGATGGTTCTTAACAGATACACCACCTATACCGCCTTTTATATATATTTTTTTGTGCATATTGTGGAATTGTGATTTGCTCAAAGGTTAATCGTATGGGTGGTATTCTCTCAACTTGAAGCTTATTGTTCCGTGTATGTCTCTTTGGTGCAAAAAAGCGTTTTAAAGAAAGTTCAGTTAAGTATAATTTATGTTACAGAAAAAAGAGAATTCTTGAGTTTTTCCCTCCTCCTAAAAAGCAAGCATTCATTCTTTAGTTCATTTTTATTTCTCAAAATACTTCAATTGGGACACGGAAGGAATATGTTAATTTAGGAGTTTTTTGTTCAATTTCTAGTAGAGTAAAATTCTTATTGGTACGAGTCAAGGAGATGACCCCCCTAGCCTCTGATGTCCATTTAAATCATATAAATTTAATTTGATTCATCAATTTGTTTGTGCTTCCTTACATTCATGGCCATCAGTTTGATCAAACGATTTGCTCAACCTCCTATTTTTATTTTTATTTTGTTCTATTTTTTTTGACTGATATGAGAGCCTGACAATGGTGTATTTAATGGAACACGAAGAAAATCAGGTTCATTAGCTTAGTAACTAACCTCATTTGAAGTAAGAGAAGGAATGAGGTGTTGACATGAAGCTACTTTTGAGCATGTAAAAAATAGAATGTCTATAATCAGCAAAGGGCAAAAAATCTAGACTGTATACTAGTCTCAGATTTGTATACAGAACCACTAGGGCGGTAATCGTGTCGTGTTGACCTATTTATTTTCGTGTTTTATTCGTGTTAAACTATATAACTTGTGAATAAAAAATTTAACGCTCAATTTTGTGTCCAAAATTTCATTATCACTTAATTGAGCCTATGCTTATATTTTTTTTATAAACTAAAAATTAACTTAATAAATATAATAATAAAAATGAATAAAAATATTTTTTTATACAAGAATTAAGTCACTATTTGATAAAATATAATAAAAAATTCGCATTTTACTCTTATTATACCACTTAAATGGGTTAATCGTATAAATTTTGTATTGTTCGGATTTGACATTAACCCAATCTATTTATTTTCCGTGTTAACTGATTTGTGTCGAGAAATGAACTACCCTAACCAACTAATTTCGTATCAATTTTGAGTCGTATTTTCACGTTTTATCAAAAGCTAAGAGCCCCGATTCTATCCTCGTGACAAAGTAAAACTTGTGACGTTGGATGACCCGGTCAAAAATCTATGTCCCCTTCATTGTACATTTCAATGAAAAAGAAAGATTTGCATGCAAAAATGAGAGTTTCAGTCTCTGATTGCCTCATCAAACATTATAACATCTTGTATTATCCTGCAATCCACCAGCAGAAATATATATTGACCAAAACAAAGCAATTGCTTCTTCCTCTTCTTTTGCTTTTTGTGTTTGCTGGGTGTTGGTAGATGTGTGTGTTGGTGGGTGGGTGCGTGGGTTGGGGGGGGGGGGGGGGGGGGAGTGTTCACGTTAGGACTACAGAATTTATGAGGGATAAATCACTCATCAAATGATATTTCAAGATTTGAACTCAAAATGTTCGAATTTGTAATTCATTCTTGTCCCCACTAGACTACCAATTAAGGTTAACAAAATTTGTTTTTTCATGGAGCAATAGCTCATAATTTACAACATAAATTCACAGGAATATAATTACCCAAAGACCACATAATTAAAGTAATTTAGAATTTTCTTGTGAGACTTGAATAAACAATCACGTCTACCTTTGAACAATCACGTCTACTATTAACTTCTCAAATCCCATCCAAAATGTCAAATGAATAATGCCATAAGTTGTCAGTATTGGTAGAGAAATTTTGTAGCTTACTCAATTCAGCACATGCAATTGACACTAAGTTTTCCAATTTGGCTGCCTGGACTAACATGCATAAACTATTGTAAAAGGCAAGACCTTTTCAACATGGCCATGCTAAAATGTTAGCGGAGGACTTTAGTTTCAGATTATTTTGTGAAACAAATTTACTAACCGAATTTCTTCACCAAATCTTATGATACGTTAAATAATGAATTTGATCAGTAAATTTTAATCTAGATAACAATATTCCAAAGAAAACATTATTGCATTAGTATTATATAAATCGTTTTTTTTTTCCTTCCTTTCATTTAAAAAAAAAAAAATCAATAATGAGCTTTTATTTCAAAAAATAAGACAAACATGAATGCACCATTGGGTGGAAGTAAAATTTCAAAAATAGATAGTAGACATAATAAATACCACTTGTTGCTTAATAATGTATTTTTTCTTCATCGATAATGAGTTATACATATATATGTATGTATGTATGCATATAATCGTTTTAATTTGCACATAAAATCACCCAATCATATTTTCTGCATCTATTTAGAAAAATGTAAAAATGGTATGCACTTGTTTTCTAATAAATTGGACGAAAAATGTTAATAGACCGATAGACTTGAACGTTGTTCCTATATAACCCGATTAACCCGCGTATTATAAATGAACAGCTGAGCTTCACCATATCGGTCCATACGTTTAATCAAGGTCCCAAAGAACTAGGATAGAGTATTAATAATTCACAAGCCTCCCCAAAAAAAAAAAAATTCAAGTTCATATATATATATATATATATATATATATTTCTCCTCAGCTATTAACCTACCCAAAACTTGTAGCTTCTAAATAAAATTAAACTTAAAAGAAAGAAAGAAAGAAAGGAAGGAACGAAGGAATAGGCCACCAATGTTGGGCCCATAAAAATCAAGCTTATCTGTGAGCAGTGACGAGGGTCTCAATAAACCTTAATCCATCGAACCTCGGCGCAAATTTATCCGAAGAAGCCGAAATATGTGATGAAGAATTTTCACTATTTTTCCTCGAATCAGAATCCTTTAAAAAAAAAAAAAATCAAACAGAAAAATAAACGTTTCAGCAGATGAAACAAAAAATTATAAAAATAAGTAATATTCACGAATTTGTTCAGAAAAAGTGAAGGCTTTTGCATCACTAATATAAGGTGAATAAGAAAGAGGAAGAATTGTTAATTGGTTTATATGATAGTGTGCCTGTTTGGTTGCCAAGAAAGTATATGAAAAGGGGATCAAAGACACAGAATTTCACAAGGGTGGTCATCTTGGTAAGCAACTACGATTTCAATTCATAGGACCCAGTTTTTTCCCCTTGTTTTCTAGGGAGCCAAACAGGCATCATGGGAAAGAAAACAAAACAAAGGAAAATCAATTCGCAACAAAGGAAGAAACGGAATAAAATTTTACCTCTCTAGAAATTTGATTCTTGGATGAGGTTGAGGAAGAAGAGATGGCAGTGGCAGAAGCTGCGGCCACGGACGCGGTGAAGAGCCCTGGTTTCTTCATGCTGTTTGGTATCGTAATTCTGATTCCTGAAAATTTTGTACAACGCCCTGGAAAAGGTTTTCCAGAGGAAAATACGGAGAAATTACAATTCCCTGGAAAAGGTATTCTAGAAGGAAAGAAAATATGTGGAAATGTTTTGGAAATTGCAATGCATTGGACAGCGATTTATTCAAATAGGGGTCTCCTTAGTGTTCGAATATTTACGCGGCATCCATTTTCTGCACCTCCTAATTTTCAATTACAGTCTTACCCTTTCGTGTACTTTGATTCTCGTCTAGCTTTTGGGTGGGACTATTTCCGCTATCCACAAATTTCAGTTCTCGTCCGATTAAATTCTAAATTAAAAAATAATAATACTACGTGAACCTAAAAAGTAGACTTAAAAATTAGATTTGATAGTTTTAACTATTGAATTTACTGTGAGTCACAACATTTATTGGGTTCCACTACCTATTCAATAATTGAGAATATCAAGCCTAATTTTTAAGTCTAGTTTTTAAGTCTATCTAGCATTACTCATTAAAAAAATCAGTAAGCTCACTCCTTTTATAGCTATTTCATTAGATTAAGCCCATCTTATTTTATACCTACTACACTAATTATTAAACTAATCTCAATATTTAACTTTAGGGTTTTTTTGCATACCCTATCTTGCATAACTTATTAAAAAAAAAACGCAACTTAATTATTTGATATAAATTTCTCAAGTGGTATTCAATTTAGTATTGATTTAATCTTTACGGATATTTTAATAACTCAAATGTTTTAGGTTCAATTTCTTCTCATATCCTCTAAAGGCTAATCACTCTTGTCCATTTAGGGACATACTCTAACTTACTTCAAATCACAATGATCAACCGTTATGTTCGAGAAAATAGTCGATGTAAATTTAAATACCCTGTAACAAAAAAGAAGAAGAAGTTGGTATTGGTTACAAGTTTACTCTTTTTTTTTTTTTGGTATGTATTTTTTTATCAATGTCAGTAAGTTCATTTAAGATTTGTATATATATATATATATATATATATATATATATATATATATATAAACTCAACTTACTATTTTTTGTAGATAAAAATTCACATGGAATGATTAGAATATAAAAAGTATTTGAATGAAAGTTTATCTTTCTTTTTTTTTTTGGGGTTAACATTCAAACAATTTTTTTTTTGTATATTTTATTTATAATCTAGTTATTAATATCTTGACAAATCAACACTAAACTAAGAAAAAAAAATTAAAAAATTTTATATTTTAATTAAACATTATATAAAGTGGGTTTTTGTCATTAATAGGGTGAGTATAAAATACGAGGAACTTAATCATTAGTGGGATGTATATAGTAGGGGTGAGTTTAATAACTTTATAATTAGGAGTTTAAATGTGGTGAAAAATGATATTTGTGGAATGAAAAAGAATATTCATGTTAATGAGAATAACTTCATTCTAACTTTTTCTAACGCTGTGTTTGGTACACGGTAATATTTTTTAGCAGGAATGAAATGAGTTTAGAAATTGAATAAACTAAGGAATGGAATGGAATGCACATTACTATTCCAATATTTGACAATTGTTTGGGATTTAATGTTGTAATGGAATGCACATTCCATTCTTATGTTTGGATAAAATAATTTTTTCATTGGAATGAAATGAACTTTGACCAAAATATCTCCGGTGACTAAAAATAATAAATAGAAATTTTTTATGAAATAAAAACTCTATTGTTATATTGAATATGGAACTTAATTTTGGAAACATAGTCCTCTTAAACAAATACACCTATTAAGTTTGCAATTTTTTAATACAATCATAAATAATCATGTACCAACAAATTTATCAAAATATATATCTAAATTTAGTGGCAAACATCAACTAATAAAATAAACACAGTAAAAATAAGTTTAGTCACCATCTACCATCTTACATAGTACAATTATTATTTTTTATCTAATATTTCTACCACAACAATAGTTGGCGTTCTCTTCTCTTTTTAATTCTTTCATCACATCAACTGAAGATGTATCTTTACCAATAGCTTGGTTCTTTCCAAATCTGATATATAAGTCCTCGTTCGTTCATCAACTTTAACTACAAGTTTTCTTTTGCCTTCTGATAGGAGCTTTTGACCAAAACCATCCACCCCAAAATTTTTTAGATTTTGACCAAAATTTGTTGGTTGTAAAAACGTCAATTAGAATAACATTTTCCAAAATTATTTAAATCTATTTTGTAATAATGCAACTATAAGAGTTTGTTAATTATTTTGATTATATTAAATTTTTTGTTCCACGTTGTTTTATTTTAACTAAAAAATAAATTATTAGAGCATGTTTCGCACAGAAATTTATAAATTTTGAAAGCTACTAAAAAATCAAGTTATAAATTTAAAAAATCCTTTGCAGTACATTACCAAAAAGTGCTTAAAATACTGTTTGTGTGTACATGAATTTTGTGACTAATTTTGAGAAATTTATTTTGTTATATTAAAAAATTGTCTATTTCAATTTTATGTTTTAATTTTATCAAATAATGAGATTTGACCTACAAAAGTGTACAAAATATGCAAATATGAAAAAAGATACTTATACATTAAACAAAACAAAGTTATTACATGAGATTGTAAGAAACAGAGTGTGTCAATATTATGGTTGATGTAGAAAACAACAAAGAGAGTTATTGAATACACATAAATTCGATGGAATAAAAGTGTCAGATGCATCATCACTTAAATCAACATAATTAAAAAGTTCAGGATCAGAAACAAGTAACAAATCTTGTAAAATTTGAATCTCAGCATAGTTAGAATTTAAATGCTCAATTTTTGCATGCTCGATTGCATGCAAAATATCAAGTCAACATTGCATCTGATCATTTTCACGTTCGAGTCTTGCTATCATCTTGGTATGGTTGGTAGAGTTTTGTAGATCATATATATCAGTCGAACGTGTCATCGATACTATTAGTCCATGTCAACGACAATATACTTCAAGCTCACAATTTTTGTTATATAATTGTTGCCATGTTGGTGTGGGTTTGATTCGAATACTAGGAGGCAGATAGTCGGTTGCAGGCCTAATAAATACGTGTCAAATTTGACCGAATGAGTGATAAAGGTCGATGGGCTCATTGCGGAACTCACGATTTTGTCCATACCAAGTTACATCAATGGAATTTGTGTAGAATTCAATAAAACGAACTACGTTTGATAATGCTGATCGGCCAGTGGAGCGTTGACGTTTATTGGATGAAAATGAAATTTGTTGTTCATTGCGTGATGAAAAATCTTGGGTGGTATGATTGGATTGCCTATTTGATGTGTGCTTAGACATTGTTTGAGTTATGATATACATAATTGAGAAGAATAGTTTATATAGATATAGAATGTAATTATAAACAAATTTGATAAGACATGCATTGTGTACGACTAACATGGCTTGACACTGATAAAACAATTCTATGACTTCACAGTAAAAAAGTAATAACATAACAATTCAATGACAAATAGGCAACCATGGCTTAACAACACACTGATAAAATAATGATATGATTTCACAGTGATAAAGTAATGACATAACAATTCAATTATAAAAGACTGACATGACTTGACACTATGCTGATTACACTGGCTTTCTATCTCATAAATGAACAACGATTACCACTATTTAATATATGACATTGGAAAAAAAATTGCACACTTAGTACATTTTGTTAAACTTCATCGACATATAATCATCTGACAAGTATTGTGCATTAGACAAAACATTGTTTTGCTCAACTGGTGTCAACTCTCGTCCATATGTAGTTCTCACCATGTCTTTTGCTTGTTGGAGCATATAATAGCAACACTTACGCATCAGTATTCTATTATTCTCTCTTCGAACATGTTTTACTGCTGATTCGTAGTCCTCTCTATTTCGGCATTGCATTGTTAGTGATCGTCTACGAGACACTAGTATGTCAAGTTCTCTTTGTGAATAGTTCTGATTCTTTAGCACAAAAAATTTACTCTCGTTGTACTCCCGCATAATACTCTTTTGGATCAAAAAATATCTCATTCTTGTAATCATTGTTTCGCTTTTGTAACAACCAAACCCGTTCATATCTGCAATTATTAAATCTCATAGAGAAATTTGATGCAAATATAATTTTGTATTTGTCATATCAATCACAAATAAGGTGTTTAAATAGTAATGTCCAAACCCTAGTGTGCTAGGCATGTCAAATCAATCAACAGTAAAATAGTATAGTCATGTGAGGCCATTTAGGGTTTAGTCATGCTTCAAACTTATGTAAGGTCATTTCACTCTTTGACTTTATCAACTGTGTGTTGTCACTTCAGCACATGGTCTATAGAAACCCATTTAGGGTTTAGTCACTTCAGCACATGGTATGCTAAAACCCATTTAGAGTTTAGTCACTTCATCACACGGTCTACTGAAACCCATTCAGGGTTTAGTCACTTCAACACATGACATTATGTAGTCCTGAGCAGTCATTTTTTCTTTTTCAGCTTGATCAAAGGGCAGTTATTTGTTACTTTAGCACATTGTTTGCATTGATATGCTCAGTAGTTGGGAGATATGTGTATTCATTACAACACATGGTTAATCAACAATTGCAGGATTTTGTCATTTCATCAACAATTTTATTGATTTAATGGGTTGTCAATCATGGGTAATAGAAAAATAATCAGTGTATTGTCAAGTCATGCACTCATTTCTCAGTGAATTGATATGTCCATCCAAACCTAGATTCTTCAGGACTATATATTCATCGTGTGTAAGCAACTAATTGAAGAAAACTCATTTCTAACATGATTATAGTGTGAGAACATTATATGAAAATATGGGTTATCATTGGGCATTAGAGGATGAGTTCTTCTATCCAATGAATCCTCATTTACGTTATTCAAGTAGAACCATGAGGGCTGAATTGCAATATCGTTTGACGTAGCGAGAAAATCTTAGTGGAGATATGCAAACTGGCAATTTACGACGGCCTCGACAAATTGCCATCCATAAGCAATTGAGACACCTCAACAACTGGAACGAGCATTGCATTATTTTCGAATTGAGAACAATCGCATGACAATCTGTCTAAATCATTACAACCTTCGTCGCATCGCACGATAACGTGCTGAAT